ATAACCTCCTCTGAAACAGGACACTGCATCGCACAGGTTTCTCTCCCTGGGGACAAGAGTACAAACAACACGTGAGGGAGGTTAGTGGAGTCGCTACTGAAGGTGCTGGCATGCCAGGATGAGCGCGATACGAGAACCTGTGCAGGAGATAACCACTGTGTTTCCAGGGAGGAAAGGAGGGAGCTGGGAAGTCATGTACGGACAAACCTCTCTGCAGTGGCATGAAAGCATGAGAGGCTAAAGCTGCTCTTTGCATGGATCTTGGGGAGAGGAAGGGATCTGTTCTTTGGGTTGGGCCCCTTATTTGAGGGAAGGATGCAGCCCTCTCTCCACCCTGGCGTGCGAAGGGGCTATAAGGCTAGAGAGACTTGCAAGGAAGGTACATCATAGCTCCCTGCTCTTAACCATGAGTCTGAGCCTCCAGGGAGCCAGCTTAATCCAGACGCAACCTGGCACCCCTGAGAGACTTCATGCTGTTCCCAAGCCTGCGCATTGCCTCCCAAATCCCCTGTGCAGCTCCCATATGCCCTTCCTAAGGCCAGAGAGCCAAGCCCCTGCCATCTCCTCCCAGTGCAAACAAAAGGATCAAACTGAAGACTGCTGAATCTCCCTGCAACCCAAGAACTCCAGGCGAAGTCTGCTGGAGCACCACCTCCCACAAGGTCGAGAAATCCCAACAATACAGGGCAAAAGAGGTGGGGAGCTAAAAAAAACCCTGTTTTTATTGAAGCGCAGAGGAGCTGGTTGTTGGGGAAGGGGATGCATCAGGCTGCCCTATTAACCCAGGGCCAGCTTTGAAGACTTGCAAGGCAAGCAATTAGTGAGGCCATCCCCCCTGAGACCAACAGGATAAAAGGAAGTGATAAAAAGGGGCAAAAGGAAGGACAGCACCACCAGCCCTTTGAAGATCTCTGGCCTGCAGGGCATAATAACACCCCCCCCCAATCCCAATGGCTGCATGTCAGGGGTCAGGTCCCACTCCCCTCCTGGAGAGGAAGGAGTGGGTGAGGACCCCTCTGAAAGTTTCCACTGAATCAAGGTTGGGGGTAGCAGCCTCTGGGCTCCCTGCAGTCTGGGCTTGCAATGGAGGGGAGCCCCAGCTTGGGCAAGGGGAGGAAGGGGTTGATGCCCCCCTTCAGCCTGCTGCCAGGAGCTGTCCCTGGGGAGAGAGGCGCCTACCTCCTACCCCACCCCTGGCCACTTCCTCTGCTTGCTATGCACCAAGCCAGCCCTGCCAGCTCCTGCCATTTCGAAATAAACCCTTTGCACCTTCATCACGGCCCAGACCATTGCCCGCCCCGTGCCATTTACAACCCCCCCGCCTTCTCCCCACAGAGAGGCAAAATGGGGTGCAAGCCCCCCCCACCAAGGCACCTACATGGCAGCCCTCCAGTGCCCCCTTCGCTGGGAAGGGAAGCAATCGGCTTGAGATCTGCCCCTTTAAAGGAGGAAAGGGGGTGTTGCTTGCGAGCCCAATACACTACCTGCTCTTTGCAAAAAAAAAAAGCCCCCGATCTGCCCGGCTATTGGAAGAAGCAGATGGCAAAAAAAAGCCAAATTAATCAGTGGAGGAAAGTGTTGTCGCGCGATTTGAAAATGAAACGGGCTGGCAGCGCGCGTGGTTGGAGGCAGAGGGGCCTGGAGGGTGGGCAAGGGGCCTGGGGGGGCATTCCCACCCCTCTGCCCTGCAGCCCTGGGGCAGCCCCAGGCAAGGTGCTGCCATTGCAGCTGCACCCCGGGCTGCTCCTCCTGCCCCCCAGCTCCCTCCTGCCTCCAGCCCCCACATGGGGGACCTGCTGGAGACCCCTCCCTTCCTCCCATCAGGTGCCTTCATCATCATCATCATCATAACAGCCATCAGGCTACACAGAAAGGCAGGCTCGCAGGTGCAGACCAGCGCAACGAAGGGAAAGCAAGAAAAAAAGCAGCTGTCCATTCCCATTTCTGCACTGGAGGCTGAGAATAAGCCCAGAAGGACACATTATTCTGCATGCCTTGCTTACTTCTCTGTGCAGAGCCCCAGCAACCCAGGCATCACCCCCCAGCCCCTTCTCTAGGATCCTTCTGCAATTTCCAGCTGAATTATATTTTTTGCAAAACAAAATAGAGAAAAGAGAGAGAGAGATCTCGGCTCTCTCATCCCACCAACCCCCCCAAGCACCAGAACAAACTAACCCCAACCCTCCAGCCGCCACCATAGAGATCTCTCTCTCTATATATATCTATAATTTATATATTAAAAAAAAAGGCCAGACACTCACAATTGCTCTTGTTCTCGGATCTGTGTGTGTGTTTTTTCCTTGTGTGTCTGTGTTGTGATCAAATTAAAACCAACCCCCCTTCTGGCTGCTGATGGTTGCAAATGCGGATCTGAAACAAGAAGGCAAAGAGAGAGAGAGAAAGAGAGAGAGAGAGAGCGACTCGCGCGCACACACACACATACACAGAGCAGAGCAGACAGGCCCACCTTCCTATTTATATCAATAAAAAAAATTGTTCCAAGAGGAAGGAAGCTGGGTCAAAACCATTTGCAGAGAAAAAAAAATAGGAAGAGAGAGAGAGAGAGAGAGAGGGAGGGGAAAAAAAAAAGCCAAGAACTCCAAGCCTTGCTGGAGGGAATCCAGCTGCTAAATATAGCAAAATCACACTCCAAATTAAATAAGGGCAGGCTGGCTAAGGGGAGCTTAGAGCCCTTCCAGTGCAAGAGGGGCGGAGCCCACTGGGGGGCTACGTCATGCCCAGGGGGCGGGGAATATGCAAAACAGGGGAAGGGAAGGGGTGATTTAAAAGGACTGCTTGGAAGGTGGGTGGGAAGTGGGGAGGTGGGGGAAGCAAAGCAGTTGCAGCCTCCTCCTCCCCCTCTTAAGAAAACAAAACTGGGGCAGATGGGAGAGATGGGAACAGAAGGGTTTCCAGGCCTTGGGGGCTTCCTGTGCCAACAGATCTCTGAAAAAGAGGGCAAAACCCCACTGGCCTGGTGGGGTGGGGGAGAGTCCTGTAGAGTTCATGATCAAACTGGGGCAAAGGCGGGCTGAGAACGTGCTCAGGCGTGCTGCTGTTATTTTTAAAGGGATATTCGCAGGCAGGCAAGGCCTTAGACTTAAGTGGCCCTTTTTTTCCCTCCCCCTAATCACTGTCAGACACCTTGGTTTTGAGGTCGCGGGGACAAGAACTGCGGTTTTTTAAATATTAATTCATCTTCGGCGGCTAATGCAGTGCGCTGCTCCTCGTTGGGGCTTGCTAGGTGCTGCCGTGGTAGACTTACTACCCAGTTAGTAAAGACAGGTTGTTAGCATGCAAAGGTAACAGGGCCCTGACTCCATTCTGCTTTTGTCATTTTTATACTAACGAACTTCCGCTGCTGCCTTCTGTGGAGCTGGTTTTGATTTGCACCAGTGTGAAAGAAGGAAGAATCAGGCCAAGGAGGCTGAAACTCGTTACCAGCATGGATCGCACAACCACAGGCCCGAGATAGCATCGCTCAGCTGTGGGACTGTGCCGAACCCTGCTCACCCCCGGGTTTATCACTGGGTGCATCTACACAAGACGCTTACTGCATTTTAGCCTAATAACACTGTGCAGCAGCATGTCACGGCACAAATCATAGCCTACTGCACAGTGTTATTAGGCTAATGCAAAGGACGCGTCACTAAATAACCGTGCGCTGGTGCTACCGCGCAGTAACTCTCAGTCCAGCGTATTTAGTTACTCCTTAAGGAAGTACTAAACTAAATGCGCACTATCTAAGGCGCATTCATGAACATGTAAACGCACCCACTGTGTAATAACCTTGTAGCTGCGGCACTTGCTTACATGGAAAAGTAATATTAAGAAGGGTTTAAAGGTATTTTAACTTCCTTTAAATGCCGCATAATGGTTGGAAGTAGGGTTGAGCCTGCATCAGCTGCCCGGGTAGACCATCCGCAGACCATCTGCCGGTGCTTTTTTAGATCTCTTGTGAATAGTTTTAGTTCTTTCTCTGTGTTACTATAGCACCAAACTATTAAAAAAGAAAGAATCTTTATGGTGAGCTAATAGATAGCAGATTAGCACCTCCCTATTTATGGTTTTTGTTTAGGTGTATGCTGTTTTATCAGCCTGGACGCTGCCAATAGCCTCTGTTTCTCTTTTGTTTCTGCTCCTTTTTACATTCAGGTTCCAAGTCCTTGGAGCTCAAACACTGCAGTTAATTTAAGGTTGTTTCCATTACCAGTTTGTTGCAAAACTGAGGGACTGTTGCTGCGAGGCAAAGTTTTGAAACCTCAGTGCTTATCAGTAGACTCCTAAATCTATACTTGCGCCAATCCTAATGGCTGGATTTCAGATGCGGTGGCTATCTGCTGTGCTTGTGAGCTCTGAAACAAGGAACTAAATGTAGGTACAAAGGTCCGTCAATGCAAACCTTAGTACAGGATCAGGGGTGGGGAGTCAGTGAGAGTTGAGATTCTCTGCCCTTGTCTGTACCAAGTTCATTCAGATTAAGGAAGAGTGTGAATGAGGGCAGGATACCTCTTTCTGTCTAGCTCTCTCTGTGGATGCCTTTGATTCCAGCACTTTTGAAAATCCTCCCCTTAGGCACCTAACTACAGAGTTAAGAGCCTGTGTTTCGGCACTAGAATCTGACATTTTTGGATTGGAATGTCGTGCTTTTATAACAGCTTTCTCTTTGCTTAATGCACAAGATGAACCTGTTGTGCCCAGCTGGAAATTGACGGCGTCTCTGTAACGAGGAAAGATTTTCCTGATGAGAAGAAAATAAATACGACGTGTGAAAGCAAGTCACATCCGAGAGTTGTTTTGTTTTTTTTTTTGGTTTGCATTTTGAAAAACAAAAATCCCCTGACAAATTCCCCTGTGCCTTTCTAATTTAAATAGTGCCCCGTTCCTTTGTGGGATTGGAAAATGAAACTGACAAACACAAAGTGAAACTGACCAATCTTTAAAAAACATTAACGTGTCGATTGCAGAGCAAAACCAATAGGTGCCCTTCCTGGTACAAGGTCCACACTGGCCACCGCCTCCTCTCGTTGCACTACATTTAAAAGGGGTGGGAATGATCTTAATGGAGTTATTCCTGATTTTTCCTGGCATGACAGGAAAATCATAATCTTTTTTTTTTTGGGGGGGGGGGTTGTCTTGTTTGAATTTTTTTT